CCCGGGGGCGAGGGAGGGCTCCTTGTCCTGGGGGCGGTGGCTGCCCCCGAGGCTCAGCGTCTCGTCCTCCTGCCCACCCGGGAGAGGGCTTGGCCAAAGAAGTGGAAGGGAAAAGGGAGCGGCACGGGTTATTTATTCCACACACACCCGCCGCCCTCACTGCGCCGGCGGACAGTGCTTGTTCCTCTGCGTTTCGGAGGGGAGACAATTCGGCAGAGAAAAAGAGGGAAGAAGAAAGGCAGGAGGGAAGGGGGAGAAAGTTGGTTGACTTGCGGAGAGGTGAAGCCTTCCGGTGGCTCCCACTCCACTTTGCACTGGAGACCTTCAGTCTGCCCGAAGCTGGAGGATGGAGACAGAGCTGCTGCCCGAGCTCCCAGCAATGCCCCTCGGGGGGAATGGGAGCGCCCAGCTGGTGCCAGACACAGCCCCGCTGCCCCCGGGGAGGGGCACGGCCATGTTCACCATCCGCTGCGTGATCCCCTCGCTTTACCTGCTCATCATCACGGTGGGCTTGCTGGGCAACATCACCCTCATGAAGATCTTCATCTCCAACAGCGCCATGAGGAGCGTGCCCAACATTTTCATCTCCAGCCTTGCTGCCGGTGATTTGCTGCTGCTAGTGACCTGCGTGCCTGTGGATGCCTCCCGGTATTTCTCCGAGGAGTGGCTCTTTGGGGAGGTGGGCTGCAAGCTCATCCCTGCCATCCAGCTCACCTCCGTTGGTGTCTCTGTCTTCACCCTCACTGCCCTCAGTGCCGACAGGTAGGAAAGCTGGGCTGCCCCTTCTCAGCTCTCTGCAGGCTGGGCTAAGGATAGCTAGAGATGGCATGAAAGGTAAAGCACCCCTCTGATAAGGTAACCCTGGTTTGCAGTCCCCTTGTTCCAACTTGCAAGTTGCCTGTGTTTCTTCTTCCCTCACTGGCTGATAGTAAGTCTGGTACTAAAGTTACAGGGTTTCTGGAAATGGGTACACCTGGGCCTCCAGCTTCAAGGGTGCCAGCTGCAAGAAGTGGGTTTAATCCTGTCTTCTGCACCTTGGGGATGGCCCTGTAACAGCCCATGTATTGAAATCTTATTCATTAGAGGAAGGTTTTAGATGCTAAATATGAAATGTGCCAAGCTACAGTGCTATGTCAACAGGCAGTGAGCAGTTTAAACCAAGTCAAGCACAGGGATATTTTTGATTTGTTTCTTTCTGCTGAGTTTGTGTGTGTATGTGTTTTTGTGCCCTAGAAAACTGGTTACCAGATGTGACTGCCAGAACTAGTTCAGCCTCTGGGAATTCCAAGGCACCAAACTGTTCTGTTGTAATTGTTAGTCTTAAACTTTTGTTCAAACTATTCATTTTGGCTTCTTCTGAACTTATGAAAAAGGAAAAAAAGAAAAAAAAAAGAAACACCCCACCCCCCCAAAAAAACCCCAACCAAACTCCAACCAACTAGAAAGTAACACTTCCATCTCCAGTACTTGTCAAATTAGGAAGAAATAAAGAGCTGAACCCCAAATTTTTCCTCTCAAATACTATAGCACTTAATCGGTACTTAAGGAATTTATAGCAACTTGATGGCTGTTGGACTATGCTTCAGGCTCTGAAAGACAAATTCTTTCAGTGTAATTGGCAACCTTAAAATAAATGAAATTATCTTTCTTCCCTTATCTAAGCAATTTCTTTTTTTTAGCTAGAAGTGAAAAAGTTTAATTCCTTCCCATAGAAATTACCCCATTTTCTTTTGTTGGATCTTAAGCCAAACCAATGCATTGGTGCATGGTGTAAAGGCTTGAGTTTAGTAAGGTTTCTAACACTTACAGTAACATTTTTTTTAAACTTTTAAGCCTATTTTTATCGAGTATAAAGGTAATATATTACTTTTTTTTTTTTTTTTTTTAGCTAATTCATTAAATAGTTTGATTCCACCTGAGGGTAGTCTTCAGCAGCCATCAGTTTCAGTGGTGTTTGTATCGGGACCTAAAATACTTGTATACAAAGACTTTGTAACTTATGAAAATGGGTTATATTTTTGAAGAAGAACTTTCAAAACAGTCTTAAAGCGAACATCGGTAATTCTCTGATTACCTCGGTTGAAGAATATGTCAAAAATTCTTCTTGGAGAGCCAAGAAAACTTTGCAGTTTTACTTCTGCTCTATTTCCACTGGTTAAAAGTATGATTGCTGTATCTTATTTAAAAAGGGAAGAAGTTACTTTTGGAGGAGATCATCTCTCTAGTGAAACATAATGTGAGGAGATGCTGGTGGTTTAATATGTAAGGATTCATTCATTTACTTTTTATATAGCTTTGGAGCATTGATTGTTTGCTTTTTCCGTATAATTTTATATCCTTTTAGTATTGGTGAAGATTCAAGAAGTAATAATGCTGAATCTGTTTATGCTGAATGCATTTAGAATTACACATCCTAAAAACCAGCTACAGATGGTGTGCTGTGATCATATAAACTCATAATAAAGATGTTCCTCCAGAATTTTGGGCCCCACAGTTAAACAAATATCAGAAATTATTATATCAAGAATTTAACAACTCTGTTTCTTTAACCTCTGCAGTTACATTTTCAGTTACTGAGAACAAAACCCATTTATTTTTCAGAAGAGCAGCCACTGACTTCAGAGACCAGTGTCCTGTCTCCTAGAGCCACAGGTCATCTCTGAGTGAAGTTGGCTGGTGTTTGGGTTGGACTCAGGTCTACATTTTTGTATGATGCTTCTGTTGAACTAAAAGGGAGGCAGTGGTGCAGAGGGGGTTTTGTCACACTAATTTGTAGCCAGATCTTAATGTGTGTCATCTGGATTAGATTTGTTATGGGTAATTAGGTCGGCAGTTCTGGAGTGGTGGCAGCATCCTGCACCTAAGAGGTGCTGAGAAGGCAAAGCCTGGCTGGTGGCAGTGTTTCCTCCAGATAAGCAAATCTAACATAGGATGTTAGCAGTTTGGAAGCAGTGATACTGCTAAAAAGGCTCCATTATAATCCAATACGTCTGGTCTGGTATACAATGTTTTCTCAGTGACCCCTTCTTTCACAGATAATGCTCAAAGTCCATTTTAATATATGATCATTAAAGCCTTTTGTGCTTTTTACTCCCTGTTACCACAGGACTGTATAGAACTCCAGACACTGATTACACTAAGGAACAGATTTAGAAATACTTAAGAGTTCTTTACAGTGTGCCTGCATGAATTCAGATAAGGGAGGTTGTCTTGGTTTCCACAGTGTAATTAGCACTTATTGTTTATGTGGAAATTCTACATGGCAAGTTACATGTTTGTGATACATTTAACAACAATGGATACAGAAGCAATAAAATCGGAAGCTATAAGGAAAAGTAGTATGCATTGCATATAAATCTCTAAAGCTGCTTTATTTCATATGGCTTTTTGTCCTAGAAGTTCCTCTCAGCATCACTAGTGCTTTCAGTGTGACAAACATGCACCTTCTATCTGGAAGCTTCATTATCTAGTACTGAGATTATTTTTGTGCATGTGTGTGTACAAACATAATATGTAATTTGTAACAGTGCACCCCAGACCTCCCTAGAGCACTTTTTCAGATTAAAAATGGTAGCATGAAGCAGATCTGCCCAAGATTGCCCATCACCATCCCAGGGAACAGCAGCTGGTCACATCAAACAGCCCTTCCCACCCTTGAGCTCCCATGGTTCTGGCTGTCAGGTGTGGGCTGTGGTGCCCTGCTGCAGCCCCACACATTTGGGGGCAGAGGGGGGTGGGTGGGAGGTCAATGGCAGTGGTGGGGGTAGTGGCAGCAGAGGTGATGCAGTGGTGGTGCTGTGTGTTGGCATCAGAGGGGGGTGTGATCTCCCTCTCCTCTGGGATGCAGAAGAGAGCAGCAGTGCTGCTGAATTAGCTGTCCCCTCTCACGTGCAGGCACAGCACCGCTGCCCCTCATGACCACTGCTCTTATTGATTTTTCTCTATTGTGGAGAAACCAGACCACCTCTAGAAACCTTAATATTTCTCTGATTTTAAAAATCTAAGGAAAAAACAGAGGGTGGATTACATAAAGAGAAAACCTAATAGCTACAGTGGACAGCAAATGAAAAAAGGAAGAGGGCAAAGGGACAAGAATGTACAAAACAAGCAAACAAAAGGAACCAAGGGGGCCATAGGGTAGAACATCCCCAATACCACTCAGCACAACCTAAAAGTGCTCATAGAGCTGGTGTGTGATGGCCAGAGTTGCACTTCCTAGAGGTGTGGTGGGACAAGGAATTAAAAATGGGTCCCCAGTTGAGCTTGCTTCTCCAGGGGCATGAACTGCAGGGGCTAATGGATGTTGATGAGAAAGTCCCAGGACTTAATGTGTTCTAAGAGGTAAGAGGAGAAGTGTTGATGGAGGGACTGCAGCATGGCTAGTGTCTCCTCACTGCAAAAAGGACAGAAGCCAGGGGTGAACCTGACTTGAACTATCCCACGAACTTGTTCACTGCTTCAGGGAGTGGTTCCAATTTATGTCCATGGTGGGCCATGCAGTTAGCTCAGAATATGAACTGAGCTCATGGGCCTCCTCACCCTCTTCTCAGTGTGAGGGATCTTAGAATTAGAGAGTTATAGAATCATGAAATGACTTGGGTTGGAAGGGACCTTAAAGACTGTCTAGTTTTGCCCTCTGCTATGGGCAGGGACACCTCCCACTAGACCAGGTTGCTCAAAGCCCCGAACAACCTGGCCTGGAACACTGCCAGGGAGGGGGCAGCCACAGCTTCTCTGGGCAACCTGTGCCAGTGCCTCACCACCCTCACAGTGAAGAACTTCCTTATATCTAATCTAAACCTGCTCTCTTTCAGCTTAAAGCCATTACCCCTCATCCTATTGCTACACTCCCTGATAAAGAGTCCCTCCCCATCTTTCCTGCAGCTCCTTTTAAGCACTGGAAAGCCACTCTAAGGTCTCCTCAGAGCCTTCTTTTCTCCAGGCTGAACAACCCCAACTCTCTCAGCCTGTCCTCACAGGGGAGGTGCTCCAGCCCCCAGATCATCTTTGTGGCCCTTCTCTGGACTCACTCAAGCAGGTCCATGTCCTTCTTATGTTGGGGGCCCCAGAGCTGGACACAGCACTCCAGGTGAGGTCTGAGGAGAGCAGAGGGGAAGATTGACCTCCTTTTCTTGTATGCTTGGGTGTTACAGACTTCTACACTTACTCTAGTAAAAATACCTTAGCAACCAAAAGCTATGTTTTTCAGACCAGTAACAAGCCTGTGGTTGTTGATCCCAAACTATTCCATGGCCTGCTTGGATTTACAGAATAGCTCAACCTGACACCTGGTTATATAGTCTGACATCTAAACTCAGACCACCTGCATGTCTTTTCAGTATGTAATTGCTGCCTCGTGTATGGAATATCAGCTATTGAAAGGCTTTTAAATCAGCAGCAGAAGGCATAGGAAGCAAATACTTGACACCTGAAATCAGAAAATGGGTATTGTAATAATATGTATATTTTTAATTGGCAAGTGGTTCATTATTGGGTAGGATGAATGGATTGTGTCACAGGAAGCAGTGAATGTTCAATACCTCAATATTCAAACTGTGGAAAAGGATTTTCTGGAAGATGTGCTTTACAAGGCACAGCTGATGTTACATCCAGCCAATTAATTATCTGCTAAGTGTTCCATTCATCAAATCCATGTCTCTCCAATTTAGAGACAAGGATGTTGTGTGGGACAGTGTCAAAGGCTTTGCACAAGTTCAGGTAAATGACATCAGTTGCTCTTCTCTTATATACTAATGCTGTAA